CCCCAAAACCCCAAAACCCCAAAACCCCTGTGGCTAATATTGCTTGCAAATATTAATTTCGTCAGTTTATATACTATTTTAATTATAGGTCTTCAAAATGATGAAGGTTAGAGATAACGTTGTCAAATCACTTAATTTTTTGCATTTCCATAGGAAAAGAGCTTTGGTTACTACATCATTCCTTTCTGTTTACAGTTTTGCATGCTATAAATCTACTGATTCGCCCTATGAGATATTGAGAATGGGAGTTGCAGGTTCATTGGCAAATTTAGTGGTTGAATCTATGTTTCACTTTGTAGACACTGTGAATGTAAGAGCCAAATTGAGTGATAAAAGTATATCTTCTTTGAATATGGCTAGAAAAATCTATACAAAGGAAGGGATATATGGATTTTCAAAAGGATTTTCAGCGTGTTTTTATGGATCGGTGGCTTGCGGCTTTATATACTTTTCCCTCTATAAACTATTCAAGCCCTACTTTAAAGATTATCTTGGTGATACTTACAATATTGCGTGGACCTTTTTCTTAGCCTCGTTCGTTGCTGAGTTCTTCACATTAATCTTCTATTACCCTTTTGATTTGGTTAAATGCAGGCTACAGTCTAATAATTTCTAGTTCAAGTATAGAAATATTCCACATGCCTTTAGAAAGGAAATTCAGCAAGGCTCAATTCTTTCATTATACAAGGGTTCATTGCCGTTTCTTACTGCATATACTCTATGTGTTTCACTCCAATTTACTATTTACGAATACATCATCAAATTTTACAAGAATCTTTATAAAGATGATTATGCTAATAAGGAGATTCAATCAAATATTGTGGCATCTTTCCTCGGAGGAGCAATAGGGAGTGGACTCACAAATGCATTTGAAGTACTAACAATCAATAAGCAAGCCAACCCGGATATAAAAATCTTAAAAATTATTCAACAAGAGAGAATATCCTTGGTATATAAAGGGCTCTCAGCAAGAGTCTTTTATCACAGTTTCCAATCAATCGTCTTCTTCAATCTTGTAATGTACATAGGTAAAACGTATAATGTTGAGCTATCAGATGAATGAATTAATAATATGGCAGAAATTCAAATAGGCAACTTTTTGGATTTAATACTTTACCTTAAAAAGGGAACGAGCTAATAACAATTCATTTATACTTTTTAAAGATTGTAAATTCAATGTAGTTTATTGCTTAATGGGGTTTTGGGGTTTTGGGGTTTTGGGGAGATCGGAAGAGCACACGTC